TAACACACTAAAGCAAAGATACGCTAAACAGTAAATCTTATGCAAGAACCGATAGGAATGCTAACATGGATAGATAAACCAGCACACGGCAGTTTTCATCACCCTTCAAATTTGACAATGAACCCCTCCCACGTGTATGGCGCTATTGCGTGTCGCATGTGCAGCTCAGTGGTTCTGTTGGGGCGACAAGTTCTTCATCTGTGAACATACTCGCAAAGCATGTCAAGTGTCCATGACTATTTATCATATCACAACCTGCATAGGTATTTGCATTTCAATATCCCCTACTTTTTGTGAAGAGTATAGCTCACGTGACAAATGAAGACGACCCAAGCAATTAGCGCATTTACCGGTAATTTGAATAACCCCGTATACTTGATATCCCAAACTATTCTCTATAAACTAAGTCAATTAAATGTTGTCTAAACGCCAATCAACAAAAAATACGAGGCTACTTTATTACAAAAACATCAGTGAACAAAGCTAATTGATTATTGGGTAAAGAAATAATTATAAACGACTGATGAGTAAAACTTGATAATTCTATACAATTAACATGTGGACGATTCAAAGTTCCCTCGTAACTTGTTTCGAACGTACGTTGCTTAAGAAGACCCACGACCCTTCCTTCCTCCCTTAAGAACATCCCCTTTACCCCACTGAGAGATGAGTTAATTCGACTTCCGCGTACAAAAATTATTTTTTCGTTAAAAGTTTCACTATTGGTCCACTAGAACATAACACTAACTTAAGAACGCGAAATCCCCTTCTATCCCGGATAAGAACGACACAACTTGGGACACATGGGTGAAATGACGAAAATGACGATTAAATTCGACTTTTACGTATACAGCGGTCAAATTTTGTACGCGATTTTAGACACAACCTAGCTGAACCCATTTCCTTTATGGAAGACCAAATGGGACGATATTCATGATTCTTGTTTCTACATTCCAGTTTGAACATTTTAGACATGAACGCAACATTCTAAACTAATGATTCTTGTTTCTACATTCTTATGTCAACATTTCATGCACAAAATCAACATTTTAAACAAAAAATTGACTTTATGTTTCATTTTCGGCGTTTTATCGGTAACTTTTATATATCATTAAATATTAAAATTAAAAAATAATTTCTAAATTTTACACGACAAAGAAATCAATTCATTGGTTTCTGAAAGTATCTAAAAAAAAAATCTGGAATTTAAACTCTTATGAAAATATTTTCTACGTTTCAAAAAGTTTTGAAGTTAAAATCTTGAAATGAAAATGTCCAGAAAAATATCATGAATTATCAACATTATTACACCAGAGGGCGTTAGCGTATGTGTACAACTTTGATACAGACTATAGATTAGAAATCAAAAGTAGACTTTTCCACGAGTGGAAGTGGGCCCCTGCTGTGTTAACAGTACACGTAATTAGTTGCATGAAACAGAAATTAATAATATAATATAATAACAATACAAATAACTTCTATAATTTAAACAGCTAGAAAAATTAGGACAAAGGCCTTTCTTACATATTCGCTGTTATTTGTTTACTTTTTCATATGTTTACAAATTAGACCTACACGTGTTTCGAATATGGCAAAAATAGATGGTAATGCTGTGTTTTAAATGGAATCTATTCACTATTATTTGTTTACTTTTTCATATTAACTATAACTAAAGGATAGTGTTTGCAAATTAGACCTACACGTGTTTCGAGTGGAAAAATCTACTTTTGATTTCTAATCTATAGTCTGTATCAAAGTTGTACACATACGCTAACGCCCTCTGGTGTAATAATGTTGATAATTCATTATATTTTTCTGGGCATTTTCATTTCAAGATTTTAACTTCAAGACTTTTTGAAACGTAGAAAATATTTTCATAAGAGTTCAAATTCCAGATTTTTTTTTAGATACTTTTAGAAACCAATGAATTGATTTCTTTGTCGTGAAAAATTAAGAAATTATTTTTTAATTTTAATATTTAATGATATATAAAAGTTACCGATAAAACGCCGAAAATGAAACATAAAGTCAATTTTTTGTTTAAAATGTTGATTTTGTGCATGAAATGTTGACATAAGAATGTAGAAACAAGAATCATTAGTTTAGAATGTTGCGTTCGTGTCTAAAATGTTCAAACCGGAATGTAGAAACTAGAATCATGAATATTGTCCCATTTGGTCTTCCATACTCCCTTACTAAAGTACAGGATATACACTAAAAATATGTCAATGTGACAAAGATAGCGAAGGTAACACGTGATACGAACGACACGTGTTTCGAATAAAACTAATGTTTCACCTTTATTGACCTGGCCTGTGGACATATGAAGCTAGAGAATATTTATTTGTGAAAGTTGTCTAAAACCTCATTATTTATTTCCTAAATTTATAAGTAATACGAGGTGACAAAACTGGCACCTCATGTAATATTTGTTTAGTAACCTTTCAATACTACGAGTAAATAATATTATGTATAGTTTGACTTCAATCTCCCACAAAAAATCTAGAATATTTAATACATTTAAACAGATAAATACTGTAGACCTATTTTTGACAGCAGACAGTGTCATCAGAAAAAGATTTAATGTTTTTTACTGAAAATGTGTAGCTTATATATTGTAATCAGGGTTTTTACGGTATAAGCAGGGCCATGGGCGCCATAAACAATTATTTGAGACGGCTTTTCGGAATTTTTTTTTCTTGAATCGGGGTAGTGACAAGGTCGATCGCCGTGTAGAGGCCGCGAACAGACTAGGCTTGAGGCTCAGGGTCGGGAGTGTGGGGGGTGTCTATAAGCCCCCAAAAGGGGTCTGCAACAGAACCACCAGAGCAAGTGTTCCGTGGGGGTTCTGTGGACGAAGCCTCCACAAATGTTGTGGGGCAAAATTGGTGCTAGTGCTATATAGTGATCCTTCAAATTGGATCCAATGTGGTCGTATATGGTAGTCACCTCTGTCTGTCGTCGACAATGTCTTGTGAACACTCTACAGACTATATATATTATCATCTGATCGTTTTGAAATTTGTTTATGTTGTTTACATTGGGAAGACGAATAAGCTTTTTTATTTCAACAATTTCTGACAATTGCTTTTAGGGTTATGTAGCTTGTTTCACTTTGTAGAACCTTGTGAACACTCTAATTTCTGCACACAGAACACAGAGAACTTCGGGAATAGATCTCTGCCCTGAATGGCCACCATATCTCAAAATCAATATACTGTTTTTTTAATGCGGTCCTACTTCGGTTCACATCATACACAAAATATAACTTAGCTCTGGAGAAAGTCTTCACAGGAACAATAATCTGGTCGCATAAACGACCCTTTAATGCACACGCAGACAGCGTAGTCCGGTTCTGCGGATGACGCTCTCTAATAATTATTGTTTAATTTATCGTGGGGTTATTTGGCAATTTGAATATATAAGTTTATTTCCTTGGTCATTGACAACAAAAATACCCGTAATGTCACTGGACAGATAGACCATGGGCATAGCTTTTATTTAAAAACAATTTGGAAACAAATGCAAAAACGGTAAGCAAGGGCAAAATTTAGCTTACGTGTTTTACTTATACCAAAAATTACAAGTTTTAACAAATTTGTTATAAATCTGTTACATTCGGAAGATCAAATTAGAAAATTGAGAAAACTAGAAGCCCGGAAATGCCATTTCCAGTGGTCTGAAACAAGGATCCGGTTCTAAAGTGCGCCCCCACTCTAGATCCGCCCTTAAGTCTACAATTACACTACAGAAAGTAGGTAGAGCCTAATCATTAATATCTACTACTAATTAATGTTCGGCTACACTCGTTTTTTTTTATACACTCATATTTTCATGTGGATGTATATTGTCGTGTCCCGCGTGTCCGTCCGTCCACATTTTGTTTCTGGGCACTCTACAGGTCACAATTTTAATCCCATTTTGACGTTACCTGAAATATAGGTTTATCTCCCAAAGATCTCGGTTCCGTTCGATATTCGTGCATATCGGACCGTAACCTCGTGGATTATGGACCCTGACTGTACGAAAAATCACGATTTTAGGTTGCGGTCCCTAGCTAAGGGTCAAATTTTTTATCCAATTTAGATGAAACTTGAAATGTATGTTTATAACCAAAAGATCTCAGTCAGTGCCGGGTTAACCTTGTGGGAGGCCCGGGACATACCAACTGTGCGGGGGTCCTATTGTTGTTTGTTCAAATTGTTCGTACTGGCCGCGGATCGTACTAGTATGTACTCCAACCCCTTGAGTGCCTGGGGTGTTTTACTTCAGGATTTTTTTTTTAAAATTAGGATTAATTTCGGTGCATCTGAGACAATTTAGGCAGCGATTTCCTGGGGGCCCCGAAAATCTGTTGGTACCTACCAGTCCCTCAGACCAGGTACTGGTTGGCTCCGTCCGGGATAAAGTATTAGTATGACCCAGAATTGTGGGGGGCCCCTAAATGTGGGGGAGGGGGTGGGACACTTGTCTCACTTTGCCCCCCCCCCCACCCTAGATCCGGTACTGATCTCAGTTCCTGGCAATATTCACGAACCGTCACTTCCTGGATTATGTCCCCTAATTGTACGAAAAGTCGGTACGAAAAGTCGCGTCTTTAGCTTGTGGTCTGAGATTGACCCCCTATGCCAATGCAAACTAGACTGCGGGTGTGGTTCATGTATAATCAATCATACCAATGACCGCAATTGAAGAACATTTTTCCGAACATTGAAACTTTCTGAGAGTGAGTCTTTTTATTTATAAGAGCACTGTTTTCGCACATCACAGCACGGAAATGCTCCACGCATGTTAAAATAGGCTCTGATATTTCGTTAAAAAAAAGGCTGCAGGGGAGAAAGTGAAAATGGCAATCACCTGTCGTGCAACGTGAGTCGTCCATGACCCTGTCAATACTGCCACACTGGTAGTCATGTATAACGAGACTACAGTTTTACGTCAAGAATTGGCCAATGAAATGAAAGATAAATAGGACAGTTGCGCTGATTGGTGACCGAGACCACGGGAATTATCAGTGCGCAGGCGAATCCACTAATGATTATTTTCTGGTATATGGTGATATTTCATATGTGTTAAACATACATTGTGATTATATTTCATTTTAAAGTGACAACGTTGTTCCAAAATGATGAACTATGGATCTAGCGGTGTGACTCTAAAAGCCTTACTTGAGGATCCTAACCTCCAAAATCCCCCGCTTCTCAGTTCAAGTAAGTGACCTCTATACTTGTACAGTTATGTTTCTTGCGTCAATAGTTTATTATTGAACTCACCAACACTATGTTCTGGTTTGGTGTCCTAATTAATTAAGTTTGTTTAGTATAGCAACTATTAGTTCATAGTTCATTAGTTGATACCCGCGGAATGACATTACGGGTGTCGAATATAAGAACTAAAGATACAACCGAAATAATAAATTTTAGTTTATATATTATTACCATGAATTGGTATACATGTACTGATTCATACCACATACCACTGTAACTGTGTACATATTTTACGTACGTTTACTTTTTTTCGACCTGTCTCATTTTCAACTAGTTCTAATCAATTGTCAAAATAACGAGACCTGTAGTAGAGGAAATAGATGTAGTACGGTATAATATTTTATTTTTTGAACAAAAAGGAAGAAATTCATCAAAAAATTTAAAGGAATTCTGAACTCTTAACTGGTTACACACCGAATATACAGAACTCGTTAATAAGTGTATTAAAGGGGAATTGTGACTTTCACCAGGACAATAAATTCTAAAAATATTAAAGGGCCAGTAGGGCTTTGCAGAACTTTGGATCAAACTCACCAATTGCAATATAATTCTGTAGAAAGTATACTCTGTATTAAACATACATTATGCAAGAGCTAAATCTGATTATTGAAAGTCTTTATTATTTAGGCTTCAGATATCATAGAAATTATAAATTAGATCTTTATTTACACAACAAGCACAAAATCAACTCTGTAGACCCACGGATGGCTTGGATTCAGCTTGGATTTAAACAGGATTTCGTTGACTGATTTATTTTTAAATGGCGTCGTGAGCGGAGATTAACTGTTACGTTGATGTCATACTCCCGGATCGAGGCTAAATGATAAGAGTATACGAAGCGAGGCCGCTGTTGAGCGATGCCTTAACAAATGACATCTAAACTATTTAAAGTGCAATAAACTAAACACAGATAATGACAAATTATACAATTCCTGGAGACCGTCTTAATAATATCAATAAAAATATTTTTATTTCCCCAATAAGCACAACGGCACTGGTGTATAGGCCCTACCTATAGATTTATCATAATTGTATTATAATATTATGCCCTATATTCAATTGATTTAATGCATGCCCAAAATACAAGTAAGAATGAAAATTTACCCTCTCACTCATTTTGTCAAATTGTTATAAAAATCCAAAATAGTAGGCCTAAAACACAAATTCGGATATATATGATGACAGCAGACAAAAGACAGCAGAGATTATGTAGGTGGAGTTAACGCCTGTCAACAAACGATTGGCCATACTAAGAATCGGTGAAGATGGAATTCAATCTCATTTCTAGTCAAAAATTTCACTGGTGATAACTATGTTCAGAATAAAGTAATTTGACTGAAATTTTCAATATATTCTTCTTTCAGCATCTATTTTTGAACTGTTATAGCAAGAATGGCTAACTCTTTATAAAAATCTCCCATAATATATCTTTAAAAAGACTACTAGGGGAACATGGCCATGCATCACTTATACATGTAACTACATGTATTGTACTTGGCATCAGGGTTCTCATTTTATGATTCGCTTCACAGTCCTACTTAACTACCTGTATATTAATGATTACTATAAATAAAACATGACCAGAGAGCATCTTAGTAGTCATTATAAAGGTCCATGGTGAAATGTAGTTCATACATATTTGAACTACACATTGTAATACACGCTGTATTTACATACTATATATTATGCTGTCCAGTAACTCATCATAGTCATCATACCAGCATGTTCCTGAAGCAAGGACAGCAAGTTTTACAATATCTAGCCATTGCTAGATTAGTCTGAAATTGCCAAACTTTTAGGTACGTTATGATACAAACACATAAAGGAAGTTTCGTTTACAGCCTTTTTAACTTGAAAACTCTCGGAAAACTAAAGGAAAACAACCATAGTAGCATAATGAAAGAACAGAAACATAAGTGAGAAAGGTTTGGACTAAGATGTGAAGTGGGTCAAGGAATAATCATAGCGGAAAAGTTCCAGCAACCTTGACATTGATTGAACCATCAACTTTGAAACTCTTGATGGCATGGGATTTCTCCGATATTAAATAGATTAGAAGAGTTCAGCCATATCTTGATTTAAAGATACATTCCCGGGTATAAACTGGGTGATTTGATGATATATTTGGACTAGAAACATATTCAAACTAATTAATTGTCGCTCGCAATAGAGTAATTTTGAATGAAATTTTCAAATTATTCATTTTACATTATCTATTTTCGAACTATTATAGCAAGAATGGCTAGCTCTTTATCTAAATCTTAAATAATGTATCTTTAATTGTGTGTTACGCATGTATGCCATTCAAAAGGGACCCCACAATTGTAGTCAGGTCCAGGGCCCCGCTCCAGTTAAGCTGGTCTTTGCTTGATGTACAGAGTTTAAGCGAGGTCAAGCCTTCTATTGAAGATGACATACTAGTAAATACATACTTATAACTTAATCTGTCAATATTTGAACAGGAATATCCACATCACTTTTCTAAAAATTGGTGTTGGGTTGTTTGAAGACACTGGGTAGATTCTACTGGTGACCCCATTAAAGAAAAGACATCTAGCAACTTGTAAAGCTAACATCCATTCTTACAGAGACGAGGGGGGTATCAATTTTCTTGTGACCTTTTTCGTGTATTTTGCTGGTTTATGTTCTGTGGTACTGATTAAAGGGGCATTATGTAAGATTTTGATACAGAGCGCGCCGTTCTCGCTATAATATTTTAAAAATAGATAATGCAAAAGGAACATATTGAAAATTTCATATCAAAATCAGAGCCATCTCATGGCATCGAGAGTTGATTATGTAAATAAATGTCCAATTAAAAATTTATATAACATTTAAGGTCCAAAGAAAGACATGCAATACTATAGGCAGATTTACCTCTGACATAATGCCTGTTTAATTACAAAATGTAAATTTTATTAAAAACAGCAGCTTTTTTGCACTATGAAAAATAATGCAATAATCAAATATGTTAGACACAGACACAGTTTATCACTATATCCCCCAATAATATTCCAATTAAACTGACCTCAAAGTGTACTGCAAATAGCTTAACATATAATAAACCAATTCTCATTGAAATGAAAGTGAAACCTTACCATACAGTGTGATTTGAAAAAATCCAATGATTACATTGTATTTCTTTCCTTTCCCAACTTAAAATGACTGACCAAACCAGAATTAGAATAAACACGACAACGTCACTCTTTCAATATGGAGTCCATGTCCATATTTCTATGCTAATTCTATGAGTTTATAGTACAAATTCTTATAAGTTATAAGGCAAGGGATTTGGGGGGGGGGGGTTAATATGATGCAATATCTGACAAGATTTTCTCTGGGTGATGGTGCCCTTTTCAAAGACGAAAATGGGTCTAAAAGCACATAATGTAATACGATTGTATATAAAGTCATTTGCATTCAATTTTTATACCCCAACATTTCAGTGTGGACATAATATGTTGTCACTTATGCCAGTCCACACACAGAGGCTACAGTCTTTAACAGGATATTTGTGTAAAGCATTGGGGTCATCAAAAGGATGAACCCTATCGATTTTCAATGCTCCACACTTTGTAGTTCCCGAGTTATTCCCCTTTTTCCAGAACCTTGTTAACTAGATAGAGGCTTCAATTTTTGACAGACTTCTTTCAAATTTGACATGCTGCGCTGGGATCATAAGCTGATGAACCCTATCAATTTTCGTCACTTTGTGACCTTTTGTGTCAGAGTTATTGCCTCTTTGCCAAAAACGTTGTTCGAGGCTTCATACAGACAAATACTATGATTCAACAAATTATTATTGTGTACATGTATATACATATCCACAGGTTAAATATCTAATAATATACAAATATCAGTGTGTGGTAAATATATTTATTTTCACTTGTAATATGTAGAAAAAGAAATATATAATTTATGGTACATATATATTCAAATTGTATGTTCAAAAATAACAGATAAACAGGCTTACATGTAAATTAAATGGACCACAAAATGTATCCAGAATGAACATAAGTTTTAGTCATAACAACCATTTTGAAAAATCAGAACAATTAAGTTTTTATTATTTCATAATAATATGGTTTATAACCCCTCAAATGATGTTTAGAGACTAATGATAATTAATTTGAGTACATTTTGACGTGGACCGAGTAGTGAAAAGTTAGATATTTTCCAAAAAGTGAATGATCGTGATCTGCTAATTTAAATCCTGTATATCAGGACATAACTAATGATTGATTCCAAAGGAACAGGAACTACACCTATAAACTTGTTAACATGGTATATCTTACACACATCCTGTAATTATTATAAAGGTCATTTCAGTCACAAAGTACATGTACAGAAAGGTTACTTTCTAAATTCCTCTGTTTTACGCCTCCTCAGCTGACAAAAGATACAAAAAAACAGACATTTTACAGACACATTTAGGAAGCCCTAATTTTGTTAATTCAGTTTCTCCTTGCATTTACATTCAAGATATTCTCCTTGCATTTTCATTCAAATGTTTAATAACTATTTGTACTTTTTATACCCTTATACTACATGTACATGTATTCTTTAAACAAATGGGTATTATTGCTACACTTGACTACCTTTGTAAATATGTGACATACAACAAAAGATAAAAATCTACACCCACATACAATGAGTGATTCTGATTGTATCAGTACATGTAGTTACTCATTGAAATTCTCCTAGTCATGCTGACTTAAAATGACTCTTGACTTCTTTCATTTGGGTCAAAATTAAAATATCTGATTTAATTGGATATATTAATTTGTTTTTTGAGATTTTATTTTGTGTCATTGTTTTACATCCATGAGTAATGCCCATCTGGATATACATGTATAGTCAACTGCAATAATACTATATACCGGAAACACTGAAAAACACCGGAAAACTACCAAAAAACACCATGTTATACTGAATATTGGAAA